TTTATGAACGCAAGCAAACAACATTTTAATCCAGACCAGCATAGGCAACATATCAGTTTTATCTAAATACGTACATACATACAATTTATTTGCATATATGTATAGTATGTAGAGAGATGATTTGAAGTATGAAAAGTATGTAGAGAGAAGATTTGAAGTATGAAAAGTATGTAGAGAGATGATTTGAAGTATGAAAAGTATGTAGAGAGATGATTTGAAGTATGAAAAGTATGTAGAGAGATGATTTGAAGTATGAAAAGTATGTAGAGAGATGATTTGAAGTATGAAAAGTATGTAGAGAGATGATTTGAAGTATGAAAAGTATGTAGAGAGATGATTTGAAGTATGAAAAGTATGTAGAGAGATGATTTGAAGTATGAAAAGTATGTAGAGAGATGATTTGAAGTATGAAAAGTATGTAGAGAGAAGATTTGAAGTATGAAAAGTATGTAGAGAGATGATTTGAAGTATGAAAAGTATGTAGAGAGAAGATTTGAAGTATGAAAAGTATGTAGAGAGATGATTTGAAGTATGAAAAGTATGTAGAGAGATGATTTGAAGTATGAAAAGTATGTAGAGAGAAGATTTGAAGTATGAAAAGTATGTAGAGAGATGATTTGAAGTATGAAAGTATGTAGAGAGATGATTTGAAGTATGAAAAGTATGTAGAGAGAAGATTTGAAGTATGAAAAGTATGTAGAGAGATGATTTGAAGTATGAAAAGTATGTAGAGAGATGATTTGAAGTATGAAAAGTATGTAGAGAGAAGATTTGAAGTATGAAAAGTATGTAGAGAGATAATTTGAAGTATGAAAAGTATGTAGAGAGATGATTTGAAGCAATGCTTTGATTACAAAACTGAAGTAAAGATGTCGTCGCTCGAAACCAATTCGACGGCAAACTTCTTCAGGATTTGTAAATTTCTTTTTAAATTCGACTGCAAAAATAATGCACAAGCTACTTGTTTGTATCGCAAATAGCTGTAAATAGCCTTCGCACATCATTTTAAGCGGATATGGTTGGTTGAGCTTTAAAATTTGATTTCGTTTGAGCTGCAAATTAAATTGTCGGCTGTTCTTTTTTTTTCATTTTAAAATCATTTGCGCGCAAACGAAACAATTTTTGTGCGTTTCATGAAATACGATATACATATATATATTTATATATATACATACAAAGTAAATAGGATATTTTTAAAAGTATGCCAGCTCAACATTTCATGAGTAAAGCAACAAAAATCGCTCTGAATTCAACATTCGAAAGCTATCATTAAAGGATCACGTCTCTGGCAATAAACGGAGTTATTTTCAATATAATGCTGCAATGAAGCATCAAAGTGCCATTTGTCCTTTGTAGAAGTCAAATGTGAAGACAATTTTGATTTGTGTCTACGGATGAGCAGGGAGTTATTTATCGGGAATTCGTTTCAACTGCCCCAACTATTAATGCTGTATTTCATGTTTAAGTTTTAAAGTTTTATTCTCCACAAATTTGGCGCTTCTTGCACTTCTCACTGATTTGAATGATTTACAAAAATTCGCATTCTAATTAATATCGCCTGATTTGCTCAAAAACTTGAATTTGTTCATGAAAGAAAAGCGCCATAAGGACGTCGAAGCGATTTAAAAACTAGCATTATGAAGAACATGTTAAAACACTCCTTGGAAACGCTACCAGATAAATGAAAACGTTGGTTTCATTGAGTCGAAATAAAGAAATAAAATAAGCTCGTATTGTCTAGAAACTAGGAGCGTCTACATACCAAGTTTGGTTAATATGGGCTCAGCATTATGAAGAACATGTTAAAACACTCCTTGGAAACGCTACCAGATAATTGAAAACGTTGGTTTCATTGAGTCGAAATAAAGAAATAAAATAAACTCGTATTGTCTAGAAACTAGGAGCGTCTACATACCAAGTTTGGTTAATATGGGCTCAGTCGTTTTCAAGATTCAGGCGGACAGACGGACGGACATGTCTACTTGTAGATCAATTTCTCTTGTCATGCTGATTACATTACATTGATAAATATAATGTGTCCATTTAACAAAGGTTGGGCAACATAATAAAAGACAATACAAAACATAACTCAATAGAAGTAAAGGAGAATATGTTTGTTTGTTTACATATACATAGTACAGTGAAAACTCTCTTAATGGACGCCTCTTCTATCCGAACACGTCTCTTAAGCGGACACTTTTTCTAGAACATTCTGTCTAAGTATTTAAGTAATTCCTTAAGCGTACAAAAGTTGAGTGTCCAGCCAAGACAGTTTTCACTGTAATATACAGGGGCTAACTGTACCCCAAATGGGTGCCTGGAAATGGAAATTATTAACAAGTGAATGCAAATTTTCAGCCGACTTATTAAATCTAAACAGCCATCACGTGCATGTCTCTAAATAAGCTTTCGAAAGCTTCGATTGCCTGGCTTAAGCCGAGCACCTATTGTGTCGCTGTGTGTGTGTGTGTGTGTGTGTGTGTGTGTGAAAGCCTAAAAGCTTCGTTGTCTACATAACTGAAGGCAAAACATATACATACATACATAAGAGGCTAACGCCGTTTTTGGTGCAATGCCAGCAGAATTGGCGAGCACTGGCAAAGGCTTATCAAGGTAATGGCCTGTCTGATAAGGAGGAAAGAGAGATGGAGAGTGAGTGAGAAAGCTAAATGATATGCCTAAGGAGTCTGACAGCAGCAGAGCACACACATACGAGTACTACGAGTTGGCAGAGACAGCGACGGCGACAGCGACGGCGACAGCGACACTCACAAGCCAGTTAATGTCATGTTAATTGTTTATAAGCAATATATGTATGTACATACACATATCCACATAAGTATATGCTGGTTGCACATGCTCTCAAATGGACGTGTGTGTGTGTGTAGCGACAGTTTAATGTTTCTGGCGTGCCAAGAGCAACGGCAACATCACCAGAGTTGAGCGTTAGCCGGCGCACGATTATGTAACGGCTCGGCTCGTCTGGAGCGCGCAGCGGACAGAAGGCGGACAGTGTAAAACTTTTGCAAATTATACGACAGACAGTGTAGACAGGCAGTCCAACAGATAGGCGGGCAGAGAGGTGAGAGATGGGCGCGTGAGGCCGCTGTGATTAAATTATTCTCTTCACATTTTTATCGAACCTCCTTTTAACAACCTCCTGAAAAAGGCAAGCTACCGAAGATCCTAAAGAACATGAAGTTACTGAAGAGTATAAAGAGGAAGCTCCTGAAGAAGAAGCTACTAAAGATCCTAAAGAGCATGAAGTTACTGTAGAACACAAAGAAGAAACTCCTGAGGAGGAAGCTACTGAAGAACCCAAAAAACTTGGAGTTACTGAGGAGCCTAAAATGGAGCTTCCTAAAGAACCCAAAGAGGAAGCTACTCGTACTCACGAACCTGTATAACAGCAAATTACTGAGGCACACAAAGAAGAAACTCCTCAAGAGGAAGCCACTGAAGAACTCAAAGAGCCTATAGAACAGCAAGTTACTGAAGAACACAAAGAGGCAAGCTACTAAAGAATCTGAGGAAGGGAAAGCTAGTGAAGAATCTGAAAATATGTAAGCTACTAAATAACCTACAGAGGATCCCAAAGTAGCACCTTTGAAGATGCAAACTGCTAAAGAGCCTAAATAAGAGGAAGTTAGTGAAGAGCACAAAGAGGAACCTCATCAAGAGGAAACTACTGAAGAACCCAAAGAACTTGTAGAACAGGGAGTTACTGAGGAGCTTAAAGTGGAGCGTCCTAAAAAGGAAGCTACTAAATAAACTGAAACAGGGGAAGCTAGTGAAGAATCTGAAAATGTGTAAGGCCGAACAAGGATTGCCACAATTTCTCAAACACTTCTCTGACCAAATAGTGCTCGAAAAAGTATCGCAGAAATATAACGAGGTCGCTCGGTTTCAGTCAAGCCCCTCGGCCACAATATAAAATATCAATCTAGAAGACATTTTTGACACATTCCCGATTATGTAAACGGAACACTTGGGGTAACGTGTTCATTCTATTCAACATATTCTCTTAAATTTTGTTACCATTTATTCTGTTTTTCTTTTTAACGTTCAATATTTTTCATTTTTCACACATTCTCGATTATGAAAACGGAACACTTGGGGTAACATGTTCTTCCAAAGTAAAAGCAAGAGAAACTGAAGAAAGAAAAGAGCTCTTTCTAGAAACCTCGACATTTTCTTTCAGTATTTCTGATAACTATGCACAATTCTAAGGACTATACTAATCAATGAAGCACATTTAAAGTAATAATTATTTTTACTTCGGTAGAAACTGTATCTATATTAAAAAGTACGGTACTTCATAGAGATTTCTGAGTTTCGTGAAAATGCCTTTTCACAAATCCCACATTAGACCCATCCCTACGACGGGCGAGAATACAATGGGCCTAGAGTGGTGGTAGGTTTAGGGCAAAACGTGTTGGACCCAGCTGCGAGGGAGCGAAGGAGCCGAGTCGAAACTAAACCGAACCGAGCTGAGCAGAACAGAACATAACAGACCAGACCGGGCCAGAACAGGCCAGGGTAGGGCAGGGCAGGGCAGGGCAGAACAGAACAGAGCATAGCTTTGGCTGCGGTGCGCCACTTGCCGTTTGACCCAAATCTCGTGCAACATTGTCAGCGCATGTGTTGGTAGTCAAGTGTAAATAATTTTACAAGTGCTCGTAAAAAAGAAAGCGGACAAAAAACACCCACAACACACCAACAAACACACCAACAAACAAACAAACAAACAAACAAACACGGAAACACACTCCCACACACACACACACACACACATCGTTCCACTTAAAATGAAGAAATGTCATTCAAAATCGATAAGCACAAGTAAAAAATAAATATAGGAGAAGGCTGCCTCGCAACGCATCGCATCGCCTCGCATCGCATGGACACGAACAAATGCCAGCGAGATTTTCCTAATGATGACAATCAACTAAGTAAGAGCCAGGATAATCTGATTAAGTGTTTGTGTTCTCGATACTCACCTAATAGCGCTTGAAATAAGCGGGATTTAAATATGCGTATGACGCGCTCGATTGCAATGCGCAGCGCTCGATCCTGTGGCTCGGACAGACGCGCATGATAGTCCTCGAGCAGTTCCAGAGCACGATGAGCTTCTGCAATTAAAAACATATGGATGCCACTTGAAAATGGTAAACAACAAACAACAGATATGTATAATGCTTTGAAAGCTTTCAAAATAGTCCTTCACTTCACAACGCAAAACAATCAAGGACGAGAACTAAATCCCAATAATGACTATAATACCGAGGTCCACATGCATTCGATGTTAATTATGTACAAGTATATGCTTGCTTTAATTTTAGTTTTACCTCACAACATAGGTTCTTTGCTTCTTCTTCTTCTTCTTTTATCTCAAGGATTTGGTAAATATTTTCAATGTTAATTATATATTAAGTTCCATCTTTTTAAGTTCAAGGAACTAACTAAAGAAAGAACTAATAGTAATATCCAAGCTATTTTGAAAGCAGCTTCCAACTTTTAGTTTTACCTCACAACATAGGTTCTTTGCTTCTTCTTCTTCTTCTTTTATCTCAAGGATTTGGTAAATATTTTCAATGTTAATTATATATTAAGTTCCATCTTTTTAAGTTCAAGGAACTAACTAAAGAAAGAACTAATAATAATATCCAAGCTATTTTGAAAGCAGCTTCCAACTTTTAGTTTTACCTCACAACATAGGTTCTTTGCTTCTTCTTCTTCTTCTTCTTTTATCTCAAGGATTTGGTAAATATTTTCAATGTTAATTATATATTGAGTTCCATCTTTTTAAGTTCAAGGAACTAACTAAAGAAAGAACTAATAGTAATATCCAAGCTATTTTGAAAGCAGCTTCCAACTTTTAGTTTTACCTCACAACATAGGTTCTTTGCTTCTTCTTCTTCTTCTATCTTAAGGATTTGGTAAATATTTTCAATGTTAATTATATATTAAGTTCCATCTTTTTAAGTTCAAGGAACTAACTAAAGAAAGAACTAATAATAATATCCAAGCTATTTTGAAAGCAGCTTCCAACTTTTAGTTTTATCTCACAACATAGGTTCTTTGCTTCTTCTTATTCTTCTTTTATCTTAAGGATTTGGTAAGTGTATTCGGTGTTATTTATATGCCTGTATTATATTAGGTTCCGTTTATCTAAGTTGAAAGAACTAACTAAAGAAAAAAGTAATAATAATATTCAAGCTAATTTAAAAGCAGCTTCCAACTTTTAATTTTAGCTCAAAACATCGGATCCTTGCTTCTTCATCTCCTTCTGCTTTTGTCTTAAAGATTTGGTAAAATATGATGGGGTTGGATTGAATTCCGAGTAGAAGTTATTAATCAAATTCTGGCCTGTATTTTCTTCAAAGATCAATAGCATTTGAGAATAGAGAAACTCCTAAATCCTTTAGAGCCCAATCCCGCAAATATTAAGTTTGGGGAAAAAAGAAGACAGTTTTTTTTTAAGTGTAGGGCAGGCTTAGAGCGAAGCCTTTGCCTCTTTCCCACAGCTCTCAAAGCAGTTCACAGAAAACCAATGCAATGTTCTAACAAACTAATTATGATCTTAAAATAAGCTCCAAATACTTTTCTCATAAATTGGTTGATTAGAATTCCAAATCGTTATCCTTAAGTTTCCAAAACCCCCAAGAAAGAAGTCCCCCAAAGCACAGGAACAGTTTCTTTAAGGGGCAGGACAAGCATAGGAAAAAGCCTTGCCTTATCTCCATAGCTCCCACAGAAATCTTAAAAAATGCTGGCGCTCTTTTTAAAAAGAAGGGGAAGCAGATCCCACAAGACAGTCTTCCCTGGTAAAGTGTAGGGCAGGGGTAAAGCAGGAAGCCTCGCCTCATTTCCGCAGCTCTTACAAAAGTCGCTTTAAAGTGCAGGGCAGGCATTGAAGAAAGATTTGCCTTAACTCCCTGTTCGCAGCTCCCACACAAGACCATGGAATGCTGTTTCTTTAAAGTGCAGGGCAGGCTTAGAGCGAAGCCTCCTCCGCAGAGACCGCGACTACTTTTGTTAGGACCGGAAGGCTTGGAAGATTGCACGCCCACCCAAGCATAGTTCCATTTACCTAGGCCACTCGATTGTGGCGCACCTGCTGAAAATTGCTGGTCATCAAGTGGCGTACTTTGTATATCCGCAAAACGTTCGTCCAGCGTCGGTTCCACAGCCGTCTCGATCTGTGCCGCCTCGCCAAAGAGTGTGGACCAGTAGCCCCGTCGAGTGCTCACTGTAGCCGCAGTTACAGCGCCATTATCGACGGCACTGGCACCTCTGGCCCCTCTGGCCATGGGCAGTGCGTTCAGCTCGTTGGCTGCCAGTGCTCGGGACTGGGCGCGCTCCGATTCGTAGTGTCGTTCCAATGACAGGACCGATTCGAGGGTACGTCGATGCTGTTCGTGCTGTTCGAGATCGGGTTGGTTCAGGTTCTCACGCTCTAGCGTCTCAATCATGGCACGAAAGCGGCTCAGCTCCAGGCGCAAGCTCTCCGAGTTGTACCGATCTACGGGTGGCAGAATGGATTTGCCTTTGCGTGGATTACGCACGGCCCCCGCACCTACAGAGGATAAGGAGGTGGCTTCGCATTCGTCGCGGGACACATCGCTCTCGGAACGCTCGAAGTAGCCGGACTCGACGTCCGGGGTTCGCTGCTCGGCCGCCGACAACATATGGCCATATTCGAGCAGATCCTGAGCGGAATAGAAGCATTCGGTGGACTCACGCACGCTGTCACGCAGCGAATCTTCGTCGGGTGCACGGCACTTGATGAACGGCTCCACCAGGGGCAAAACCTCTTCATTTGTATAGCTGACGGGCCGTGTAATTGCATCGGGGGCTTCCTCTATAACTACCTTCGCCGCTCTCTCTTCCTCCTTGCCTTCCCCTACAATTGTCGTGCTTGTTGCTGCTGCCTCATCGATTTCCAAGCGCATTTCTATGGCTTCCGTTTGAGTCAACACCACTAGCAGCTCTGCTCCTCCTTTTCCATTCTCTAGCTTCTCTTTTTCATTATTTTCTTCATTTGCCGCTGGCTCGCTTTGGACAATAGTTGGCACATTGCTTGGCAACTGATGCCGCATTGTCACATCGAATTCATACTCCTCATCCTCATGCGCATCCACATCCACGTCGACGTCGACGTCCGCATGAATGGCGGCAGACGAATCATCATCGTCATCGTCGTCGTCGTCTTCATCGTCATGAAATGTCTTATCGTCACTGCTAAGCAGCTCCTCGTTAGCATCGCTGCTCTTTTCCCGCTCTGAATCCGTATCCGAATCCATTATTGCGGCGGGGATTGTTCAAAATCTTAGCAACAACAACAATAACAAAAACTGAAAAAACTGAAATAAAATTCGCAGCACTTGGCGGGCGCAGCAATCGCGACGGACTGTCTCAAGTGCTCGACTTTATAATACCCATATGCCTGGGCCCATTTGTCGGCTTGTCCGATAAATCAATAAAGATTGTCTCAAAAACAGAATGCAGAATTACGCCTCGCTTTCCTCCCACCCCCTCCACTCCCACCATTCATTCATTTATGCTTGCCTTTTTATACTCTGTACCGGATTGGTATATCATTAATAGGTAGTATGGTCGGCATAATACAGACGATATAATAGACCTAGTTTGTGCATCTTTCCGACTGTCCGTTCGTATGAACCTCAACAATTTGTAAACCCAAACAGCTAGGGACTGCAAACTATATGTGTCAATTGGTCTTAGGTGTGTGCAGATCAAGTTTATTGCAAATCATATATATCATCAAAATTTTATATAGTAGCTGTAATAGCAATGATAGTTTGTGCATCTTTCCAATTGTCCGTCCGTATGAACCTCAAGATCTTCTAAACCAAAACAGCTAGGGACTCCAAACTTTATGGGTCCACTGGTCTTAGGTGTGTGCAGATCAAGTTTATTGCAAATCATATATATCATCAATATTTTATGTGGCAAAGAAACGTACTACTCATTCAGCTTAAAATTACGAATTAAGTAAGTCTGCCTAAAAATGGTGTTATGGTTTTATGATACTTATTACAATTTCTCGTGCTTTTAGCAGGAGAGGTGTTCCAAGTAGATATCACAAAGATAAAGATTACAACTAATAAAAATAAAAGTAGCTAGTGAGAGGTCTAGCTTAGTTCAGGGAGCCCATCCAAGCCCACCATTCCGCTTAGCTCATGGGCTCCCGGGGTCACTGCACACAAGAGATCACAAAGGGGTGCCGACACATTCCTACATCTAACTTGGCTAAAAACAAAAAGAAGAAGAGGAGAAAGAAGAAGAAGAAGAAGAAGCAGAAGAGGAGGAGGAAGAGGAGAAATGTAAAGAAAATTGACGATGACGTGAACAACGGACGACAGTGGACGACATTGTGGTCTGTCTGGCGTTTGCCAAAAAATTAAACACATAATTTATTAGTATAATCGACTTTGGGGCATCCGCGCACGATTTAGGTACAAATCGCTATATATAGTGTGTACATATATGCATATGTATATATGTCCGTGTATATCGCGCATCACATGGCAATGTTAGACGACGCTTGTCGCATTTGGCTCTGGCCTTCACTGCCCATTTCAATGGCTTGGCAGCGTCTGGTCTTTGGTTGCGCATATTTTTTGTTTTATTTGTACGAACCCCCTCCCTCCCCAGCCACGCCCCTGCCACCTTCATTTGTTTTTGGCGCATTTCTAACATTGCCGACGACTGCCATAGACATCTATATATATATAGTAAGTACATACATACTCGTCTACATGTCCATGCGAGTTATATAGCCATCAAAAATATTTGACTGGCGCAGGTAATTTTCTAACCTTGACCCTAATGGTGCTATTGACCAGCGGATGGGTCATTAAAGATTTCGAATATAGCGCACATTTGACGTGTTAGCTGGATCTATGATATGGCTATGGCATTAGTTTGCTGCCACTCCAATATCAGGCATGGCAATCGCCAACTACCTAGTACTAAGTTGTGTCCAAAACTGTTATACATTTTTATTTTTGTTTTTTATTTCTATAGAGATTTCCAACTACCACCTTCTCAACAGATTTATATAAATTATAAATGTTAAATTGTAATTAAGACTAAACACCTAGTTTATGTTGTATTTGTATTTAACTATAAGTTGAATTTAAGTTATAAATATAAGAGTATAATCAAAAAAAAAAAAAAAACAAGTAGGGAATAATTATAGAATAATTAGAATAATTATAGAAATTCCAAAAATAAAGAAAATGAACTACCTCCTGATTTCAACTGAATCACCATCTAATGGAAAAGTCGCCGTTATTAACTCATCGATTAATCAGACCTTACTTAACCGATTTCCTAATACCGTTTTAAGAGAATACTCTAAGTATTTAACGCACATTTAATTATTTTTTTTATTATAATGGATCTGTATCTTGAATGGCCGCATACTTGTAGTTTCTAGGTTTCTGACTGAACTAAGCGATTAATTTTGACCGACAAGCTTGAGACAAGAGACAAATTTATTTTGTTCCTGTAGATCTGCACTCAACATAAATTATAGTCACTATCAGTTGCATAATCTCGACAATAACAATTTAATATAAGTCTTTATATACACGTTTTTTCTATATACTTGTATTCAAACTTTTAATTCAAATGATGTAGACAGGACTTTTGAACTCTTCAAGCCCTTTCTATAATGTCGTTAGTTAAGTACAATTGGAAGAACAAAAATTACATTCAAAATATAAAGCTCTAATTTACACGCGATTCGAAAATATTTGTGATGAAGGAAAATTACAGATTACCCAAGTTTTAGTCGAAAAAAAATTGTGCAATCTTCAGTGAAATTAATGGAACTAAATATCTCCAGCTCTACGAACAATTGGGTAACCAAAAATTATAAACTATAAACTTATTTGAACATTTTTTTTACCATGAAAGGAAAACGCTAAGGCCAAGACTCTTCAGGATACTCAAAACACTCGATCCAAATGCTTCTTGATCGTCCAAAAGACTGCATGTATTGAGTGGGAAGTTGAATATTTTGAGTGAAATGAAATGCTGTGCAGCTTCATTTCTAAGAACATGTATGATATGTTCCCAAAAAGCCCTTAAAGTTTCCTTTATATTACTATTCGCTACTTTAAGCTAAACACGAGAGAATTTTAGATGGCTTCTTAGATCATTTTTAATATATTCCTGTACTATAAACCCCTTTAAGTTTCCTTAACTGTTCGCTACTATAAAAAAAACTCGAAAGAATATTCAGTTGCTTCTAATATCATTTATTTATTTATCCCCTCACTATTTGCTGGGAATGTTTGGCTGCTTTTTAGGCCATTTTTTATACCCTGTACCCGTAGGGTAAAAAGGGTATATTAGGTTTGTGCAAAGTATGTAACATACAGAAGGAAGCATCTCCGACCCCATAAAGTATATATATTCTGAATCAGCATGACGAGAAAAATCGATCTAGACATGTCCGTCCGTCTGTCCGTCTGTCCGTCCGTCTGTCCGTCTGTCCGTCCGTCTGTCCGTCTGGATGAACGCGAGGATCTCAGAAACTATAAAAGCTAGAATAACCAAAGTTGGCATCCAGATTCTCCTAGATCCGAGTAAGGACGAGTTTATTTTATTTTTTTTAATTTTCCCCCCCTTCCCCCGCTACAGAATTTCGTCAATAGCGTCCACATTTCAATTGCTACCTAAACCAAACTTTGCACACATAATTTATAAATAATTATCTACTGTTGTTTAAAATTCAATTTGGTCAATTCTAAGAAAAGTTATTAGCGAAACAAATTCTCGCCAGTACAACCCCCACAAACTGCAGCAACAAGTTCGCTCTTCTTCTTCCTCTTCTTGCTGCTGCTTTGGGCGCATATAACTCAGTGACGGAAGTTTACCTGGGTACAGGGTATTACACTGTCGGGCTTGCTCGACTGTAGCGTTCTCTCTTGTTATATATTCCCGTACAGCCCTTTAATTTGCCTTAATTATTCGCTTCTATAAACTGAACACGAAGGAATGTTTGCTTGTAAGATTATTTTAAAATAAGTATTTCCTTAAAGTTTCCTTAACTACTCGTAGCTATATGTTTTGCTTCATTATATTTGTACATCTGCCCCTATTCGGGGCATATTTTGAAAGTAAACAAATGAAGTGGAAGGCGATTTCTCATTGAAAATGTGAATTATTCAGAAATGGCTTACCTTGCTTTTTTACTGGCATTTTGTGGCTGTTGTTTTTTTGGTGGCGTATCAGCGTCGTTTTGCTTTTTTATATATATATATATATATTGTATAGCTATATCTTTATATTATGTATGCATATATGTGTGTATATATTTCTTGAGTATTATGTCTCGGTGTAATCGCATATGTTGAATATCCGCTCGAGTTTCCTGAATTTATTCAGTGGGACGCGACGCGCGACAATTTTCAAATATTTCTTTCTGTGTTTCGTGAGTTTCTCTCTGCTTTTTATTCTTATTTAAATATGTTTATTTCTATTTATATTTATGTATTTTAGTTGTTGTTGTTGTTGTTGTTACTGTCTTATTGTTAGTTTTAATGCACAAGTGTTTTGTTTTTATATAAATTTTAAATGGATTATACGAGTACATTTGCGCTTCAGTTTTTCGGCAGTTTTCGTTACGGGTTTTACATTTGTTTGTTCTTTAATTATTTATTTATTATTATTTTGTTGTTTTGCTTTCCTTTTGTTTTTGTTTTTGTTTTTGTTGCACACTTTTTGCCTGATGAGCTCTTAAACGCTATGATTGGCCTAAAGCAGTTGCCTGGATCTGTGTCAGTGTCGGGTTGAATGCGCTCGCGAGCACATTTTCTGAACAATTTCAATTGATTTGATTGTATGTAGTATGTATATTTATTTATATTTACACTAGAATTTTCATATGTTTGCCGTACGACACATCTAAAAAATAGAAGAATAGAAGAAATTTTTAGACCACTTAGTGTCCTTAAGCAGTTGCCAACAAACACCAACAAAGAGAGTCCAAAGTCAAGAATTTGCAACAAAAATGTAAATTCAATTCACAATTGCGATCAAATAAAAGATTTTATGTTGACTAAACAACTTTGTTCTAATTTGTTAAACCATGATTAATTCTCAAAATTATAAAAGAATGTAAAGTAGCTTATTTCTGTCGAATATCTAACTATACTATATATCTGTACTAATATTTGTGCCGCTTGTTGTGTGAAATAAAACGTATCCAGCTTTTCCTTTAAGTATTAGATAATTGATAGGATTGCCCAAGACTATGAAAAGATGAAAAGATGTGTGATCGAAAACATGTTGTATCTAATATTTTTCAACATAAATTAATCGGTTGTTTCGTCTGGGTATCGAATTACCGTAAACTTCTCTTGCAAATCAGAAGTTCTATATAATTTGGAATGAAAAAACTGTAATGTTTGTTATAAATTTAAAGTGGATCTGTTAAATCATTCCAATCATACTCTTCTCAATCAAAGCTTACGAGTACTTAGCGAATCAAAGAAAAGTGGAGAAATGGCAATTATACAGCATTCATTTTAATTTTAAGCTAATATTAAACGGCAGACTCGATATAAAGCACATTGGTATTATTATTCGTGTATGGAACCGTTTAGGAAAGTGTATTGCTGTTCTTTCTGATGACCCTACCTTTAAACAACTTTCAACCCAAGGATCCAACAATTGTTTCTTCGAATTAGAAATACTTAATAATAATTTTGCTTGCAAAGAAAACTCTCCTTGGCTGCTGTTTTCTTGAAACAAATTTATCACTCTTCTATAAAGCTGGCTTTGATTAAAATATGGCAGCTAAGTATTTCTAAGTATTCTTGGGAACTTTTGCACTTCTTCTAAAAATGTTGTTTATTAATTATATCGATATTAAGAAAGTGTTACTATAATTCGTAAATGTACTTTTGTCTACGTATAACACGAATGGTACTTTGAGGATGAAATAATTTTACTTCTGGCTCTGACTTAAAACAAATTTAACTCATTTTAATCAATGATAATAATTCGATAATCTTAGATGGCATTGTAAAAGTAATGCTGCCGAATTAAGACTTGAGAAAGTTAAAGCTTTTTCTATTTGAAAAATTTGTTAATTTTTCTAGATAAAATTATTATATTTCCTTATAAAATTATTTTAACAGAACACAAATTAAGGACATTTTAATCAAATTTTCAAAAGACATTTTAAAAGTAGTTTTTCTAGATAAAATGATTATATTTCTTAATGAAATTAATAGTCTGAGCACAAATTTGAGACATTTTCATCAAATCTTCATAGATTAATCAATTATTCAATGGCATTATAACAGTAATACTGACGAACTAAGTCTCGAGAATGTTGAAGCTTTTTCAATTTGAAAAGTTGGTTTATTTTCAAGATAAAATGATTATATTTCTTAATGAAATTAATAGCCTGAGCACAAATTTAAGACATTTTCATCAAATCTTCATAGTTTTAAATGGCATTACAACAGTAATACTGTCGAACTAAGTCTCGAGAATGTTGAAACTTTTTCAATTTAAATAGTTGGTTTATTTTTTTATGATAAAATGATTATACTTCCTAATGAAATGAATAGTCTGAACGCAAATTTAAGACATTTTAATCTAATCTTCATAGATTAATCAAATCTTCAATGGCATTATAACAGTAATACTGTCGAAGTAAGTCTCAAAAATGTTGTAACTTATTAAGTTAATAAAGTTGGTTTATTTTTACGATAAAAGGATTATATTTCCTAATGAAATGAAAAGTCTGAACGCAAATTTAAGACATTTTAATCAAATCCACATAGTCTTAAATGATCGGCAACTACTGTAGAAGGTAGGAGAGGTGGGAAAGCAGTCTTAATTACGGTTTATGTTGACGAATGCTCGTAAAAAGTAAACGTACGTTCATCGATTTGAATTGAAATTTGCATTTTTGCCATGTTCAAGGATTTGCTTTGGGGACACTAGTATATTGTTAGTGTTGGTTGTTTGTTGTTGTTTATTGCTGTTGTTGTTGTTGTTGGTTGTTGGTTGTTTCAGTGCCGGTCAATGTCGTTGCACGAGGAGGAGATTTCTTGTTGCTCGCCAGCCATTGTTTGGCTGTCAAAAGTGCAAAGTTACATGACAGTTTCTGGCATTACGCATACGACATGTGTGGCCACACTTTTGTACCCTGTGCGCCAGATTATGCAGCTGCTGTCCAATAAACGGACGCTATCTGAATTACTTTTTCATAAAACACGCACACACACACATGTATAGTATATATGTGTGTGAATGTGCAAATACGTGTGTGTGTTTGTGGAAGATATATTGTTTAGTTTAGTGTCGTTTATTTGCGATTCGCACGCGTATTTTATTACTCGCATTGTATAATCAATTTGTCTGCACACTTTTATATTTGCTTCAACTTTTCAATTCAGTTGCATTTCATCACAATTTCTGTGCACAGACACGTACATACATGTATGTATATTTTGAAAATTGTTGCTTTTCATTTTTATTATTTTTTGCAAAATGTCTATTTCTTCGTCCTCCCTGTGTGCGACCAAAACCGATAGTTGTTGTTGTTGCTGCTGCTGCTGTTTTTCATTTATTCATTTATTATTGTTATTGCTTTTTGGCCGAATTTCGCACGTCCACTTAATATTTCACAAACACACAAACAAACACACCAAAAAAAATACATCAAAAAATATATAGAAATGAAAAATCACAAATACCGCAGAGAAAATCTACAAGAACTTGTTTTATTTTTATGCACAGCCAAATATTTGCTATTGTTGTTTTTTTGGGTGTGTGTGATTATTCATTTTATATTGAAATTGTGTTTTGGAAAATGTATCCAATTAATTGTTGTAGGCTCGAGCTTTCAAAAACAATGTAAGTCCGGAGAAGAGGAGTTGGCGGGGAAAGTATAAAATATAACCAAATAAAATGTTACTTTTTTCCTTTTATTTTTTGTTCAAATACCTCTTAGCGCGGCGCCAGCACAACAACTGACTGAATGACTGACTGAGTGAATGACTGACTGGCCGAGTCAGCGACCAAATGAGCGAGCAACTGCCTGTCTCACTGACTGCTGCTGCCGCTGCTGCTGGGCCCACCATTTCACGAGCGGCACGAGGCTTCGAGAGCTCGGCCGGCTGTTGGTCTTGCTCTCGTGTGTGTGCTTGTGTGTGTGTGTGTGTGTGTGTGTGTGTGCGCTAGAGATGGGTGAGTGGCGTGTTTATTTTTGGTATCTGAAGACCGTCTTTCTGTTCATATATTTCTCGTGCACTTCAACGATGCCACACAATATTATTGATAGATTAAGAAAAAACAACTCTTTTAAGAGCTTTTAAAATTAAATCTGAGAGCAGGACTTTACAGCCTTTATAATTACTCAACAACGATTGATGGCCAATGTACATTTGGCTTGAAAAGAATGGCTAGAAAATGATGGCCGCCGTCGGTTATCGAAGATAATGGCTAGCAACACAACTAAAAGTAAGTAGATAATGGCTGGAAAATCTTCTACAAATGACTGGATAAGTCGCTAGAGAATCAGCTCTAAATAGCAAGAAAGTCCACTAAAAAAAGCTAGAAAACTAACTAAAAATGGTTACACATCGAGCTAAAAATGGGTAGAATGTGCCAGAGAATGGTTACAAAACAGCAATAAATAGATAGAAAATGGCTTTTAAAAGCAAAAAAATCGCACTGTAGTCAAAAAAAAAATTTTTTTTTTAATTCTTAAGTGGATTGAGTTTTATTTTTATTTCTCCTATAATATTAATCATGAGTAAGCAAATGTGTTGACTTTTATGATTGGAATTTTGTAAAGTACTATGAAAAGGGCCGATGAGTTGTGTTTTTTTTAGACACAACATTTGAAATAAAGTCTCCTGCAAGATAGAATAAGAGTCAATCATTTTCTGGTAGTACCAAACCGATTGTTCCTATGGTAGGTACATATATAATATAATGGGCCGATTTTGATGTAACTTCATATTATAATGAGACACTATTCAGAACTCTTAGCAGCCGAATTTTCTTAAGACAACACAATTTTCTGTATTAAGATTGATTTCTGCACCGATCGTTCCAATGGCAGCTATATGATAAAATGCACCGATCTTGATGAAACTTTACAATTTTTTAAGACTTAAACTTATAATTCCAAAAGAGATATCTTTTGAAGCTAAACGTGTTTTCTATTAATAGTGATTTTTACACCAATCGTTCCATTGACAGCTGCATAAGCTTTTGAGGCTATATACTTATATGTTTTATA